GGCCAGATGCGCCCTCTTCTAGTGGAAATAGGCAGCGGAAAGGGGGGTTTAGGGGTTAGGGGAGAAGGGAAGGGGAAGCCACGCCCACAACCCCTTTTATAGGTCACGCCCACACGCCTGTAGGGGCCACGCCCCTATCATTTTTTTCTTCTATGCTCCTCCTTCCCTGTCAGAGTTCCGCCTATCTGTGTGCGCAACAGGTGTGTGTGTGTGTGTACTCACCTAGTTGTACTCACCTAGTTGAGGTTGCGGGGGTCGAGTCCGAGCTCCTGGCCCCGCCTCTTCACTGATCGCGCGCGCGCGCGCGTGCGCGCGCGCGCGTGTGTGTGTGTGTGTGTGTGTGTGTGTGTGTGTGTGTGTGTGTGTGTGTGTGTGTGTGTGTGTGTGTGTGTGTGTGTGTGTGTGTGTGTGTGTGTGTGTGTGTGTGTGTGTGGTATGTGTGTGTGTGTGTGTATACTCACTTGTGGCTGCAGGTTCGAGTGGTAGCTCCTGGCCCCGCCTCTTCGCTGGTCGTTACCAGGTCCTCTCTCTGAAACTCTTGTCACACTGACGTGTTCGGAACCCTGTCATGTCTCTCTGTGAACACCCTGTCATGTCTCTCTGTGAACCCCCTGTCATGTCTCTCTGTGAATCCCCTGTCATGTCTCTCTGTGAATCCCCTGTCATGTCTCTCTGTAAACCCCCTGTCATGTCTCTCTGTGAATCCCTTGTCATGACTCTCTGCGAACCCTCTGTCATGTCTCTCTGTGAACACCCTGTCATGCCTCTCTGTGAATCCCTTGTCATGTCTCTCTGTGAACACCCCGTCATGTCTCTCTGTGAATCCCTTGTCATGACTCTCTGCGAACCCTCTGTCATGTCTCTCTGTGAACACCCTGTCATGCCTCTCTGTGAACCCCCTGTCATGTCTCTCTGTGAATCCCCTGTCATGTCTCTCTGTGAATCCCCTGTCATGTCTCTCTGTAAATCCCCTGTCATGTCTCTCTGTGAATCCCTTGTCATGACTCTCTGCGAACCCTCTGTCATGTCTCTCTGTGAACACCCTGTCATGCCTCTCTGTGAATCCCCTGTCATGTCTCTCTGTGAACACCCTGTCATGTCTTTCTGTGAACACCCTGTCATGTCTCTCTGTGAATCCCCTGTCATGCCTCTCTGTGAATCCCCTGTCATGTCTCTCTGTGAATCCCCTGTCATGTCTCTCTGTGAATCCCCTGTCATGCCTCTCTGTGAATCCCCTGTCATGCCTCTCTGTAAATCCCCTCTCATGTCTCTCTGTGAACCTCCTGTCATGTCTCTCTTTGAACCCCTGTGTGGAATTCACTCCCATTGTGATACTGTTCACTTCATTCCACTTTGCTTTCACTCCTATGCTGAAAAAATACTTCCTGATATCCTCATCTGGACGCTTTCATCTAGTGTTCTGTCAGTGTTTTTTACAGGTCAAGAACTGCTATCCAACCTCAGTTTATTTCAAAGCCCAGCCCTATCTAAGGTATACTACCACCCCCAGGATGCCACCCACACCTGTCGACTATCACTCACGTACCTACTTACTGCTAGGTGAACAGAGACAGCAGGTGTAAGGTGACTAACATCCAGGTACCTACTTACTGCTAGGTGAACAGTGACAGCGGGTGTAAGGTGACTAACATCCAGGTACCTACTTACTGCTAGGTGAACGGAGACAGCAGGTGTAAGGTGACTAACATCCAGGTACCTACTTACTGCTAGGTGAACAGTGACAGCGGGTGTAAGGTGACTAACACCCAGGTACCTACTTGCTGCTAGGTGAACACTCATTAGCAGTGATAAGACCAGCCAAACGTTACAGCCTACCTAACCATCATACTCTGGCTACAGTGGGTACATAACCACCTATTATGTATTAGTAACTAGTTCCAAAATAATCCTTTCGGGATCTATGTAATATACAAGGCTCACAGAGAAAGATTTCTTAAAAAAAAAGAGAGAATCTTGAATACAGTTCACATCTGAAGACTTACAGGGAGAGATTGCTTTACCTTTTACCCGTAGTGGTACAGAAAGGTGTGTGTGTGTGTGTGTGTGTGTGTGTGTGTGTGTGTGTGTGTGTGTGTGTGTGTGTGTGTGTGTGTGTGTGTGTGTGTGTGTGTGTGTGTGTGTGTGTGTAGAGAGAGAGAGAGAGAGAGATACAGTTGCTTTCTTAAGGCACTGTGTGCCAGCTGGCCCTCCGGCTAGAGGGACACACACACGCTCTGTGTTCCTTTGTGTGTTCGGATAAGAACACTAAAAAGGAGGAGCACTACAGCAGGACTACTGGCCCCATGCTACGCAAGTTCTTCTCAGACACACAGAGTGCTAACCAAGCTTATAAGAGGCCCATGTTTCTCCCTGGCTAGACCTCTAAGCCCTGACTCGATAAAGCTTAGTACAGAAGCATTATTCTTTAAGATTCTTGCTTGTATCATTGATGTCAGCTATGGCCTGTATACCTTGTATAATGTATATGTTGTATATCAGTGGTATACATTACGACAAGATGAATAATTAGACACATGTGCAACATCTGGGTATCTTTATTTGTAGACATTTCGCCAACCAGGGTTATTTGTGGACTGTTCAAGCCACGGTATTGTGACTTGCGGCGCATTTCTGTGTATAATTCTGGCGTTGACAGTGAAGGCGTCATGTGTTTGAGGAGTGTGGAGTGACGGGAGGAGGACCGGGTGAGGGAAGACCTCGGGAGGAGGGTCAGGTGAGGGAAGACCTCGGGAGGAGGGTCAGGTGAGAGAAGACCTCGGGAGGAGGGTCAGGTGAGAGAAGACCTCGGGAGGAGGGTCAGGTGAGGGAAGACCTCGGGAGGAGGACCAGGTGAGAAAAGACCTCGGGAGGAGGACCAGGTGAGAGAAGACCTCGGGAGGAGGGTCAGGTGAGAGAAGACCTCGGGAGGGGGTCAGGTGAGAGAAGACTCGGGAGGAGGATCAGTGAGGGAGACTCGGAGGAGGACCAGGTGAGAAAAACCTCGGGAGGAGGACAGGTGAGAGAAGACCTCTCAGTGTTGTCGTTTCCTCAGGTGTAAGTGAGTAAGTTTATTTAGACACAGGTACACGTGACTACAATTATCATACATAGTGTAAATTGTCCTGCTTCCTAATATATCTCACCTAACCTAACCTAACCTAACCTAACCTAACCTAACCTAACCTAACCTAACTTAACCTAACCTAACCTAACCTAACCTAACCTAACCTAACCTAACCTAACCTAACCTAACCTAACCTAACCTAACTTAACCTAACCTAACCTAACCTAACCTAACCTAACCTAACCTAACTAACCTAACCTAACCTAACCTAACCTAACTCAATACACTCTAACCCTAACCTAACCTACTAACCTAACTACTAACCTAACTATAACCTAACCTAACCTAACCTAACCTAACCTAACCTAACCTAACTTAACCAACCTAACCTAACCTAAAAACCTAACCTAACCTAACCTAACCTAAACCTAACCTAACCTAACCTAACCTAAACCAAACAATTTAAACCCAACCTAACCTAAACCTAACCTAACCTAAACCTACCTAACCTAACCTAACCTAACCTAACTCTAACTTAACTACCTAACCTAACCTAACCTAACCTAACCTAACCTAACCTAACCTAACCTCTAACCTAACCTAACCTAACCTAACTACTAACCTAACCTAACCTAAACCTAACCTAACCTAACCTAACCTAACACCCAATAACCTAACCTAACCTAACCTAAACCTAAACCTAACCTAACCTAACCTCAACCTAACCTAACAACCTAACTATAACCTAACCTAACCTAAACCTAACCTAAACTAACCTAACCTAACCTAACTATAACCTAACCTAACCTAACCTAACCTAACCTAACCATAACCTAACCCTAACCTAACCTAACCTAACCTAACCCTAACCTAACCTAACCTTAACCTAACCTAACCTAACCTAACCTAACAACCTACACCTAACCAATAACCTAACCTAACCTAACCTAACCAACTAACCTAACCTAACTTAACCTAACCTCAAACCTAACACTAACCTAACTTCTAACCTAACCTAACCTAACCTAACCATAACCTAACCTAACCTAACCTAACCTAACCTAACCTAACCTAACCTAACCTAACCATAACCTAACCTAACCTAACCTACACCTACCTAACTCCATAAAACCTAACCTAACTAACCTAACCTAACCAACCTAACTACTAACCTAACCTAACCTAACTAACCTAACCTTAACCTAACTACCTAACCTAACCTAACCACTTAACCTAACCAACCTAACCTAACCTAACCTAACTACTAACACCTAACTAACCTAACCTAACCTAACCTAACCTAACTAACTAACCTAACCTAACTAACCTAACCTAAACCTAACCTATACCTAACCTAACTAACCTAACCTAACTTAACCTAAACCTAACCTAACAACAACCTAACCTAAATTAACCTAACCTAACCTATAACCTAACCTAACAACCTAACCTAACCTAACTTAACCTAACCTAACCTAACCTAACCTAACCTAACCTAACTAACCTAACCTACAACCTAACCTAACCTAACTTAACTAACCTAACCTAACTAACCTAACCTAACCTAACTAACTTAACCTAACCACCTAACCTAACCTAACCTAACCTAACCTAAAACCCAACCTAACCTAACTTAACCTAACCTAACCTAACCTAACCTAACCTAACCTAACCTAACCTAACCTAACCTAACCTAACCTAACAAAACCTAACTTAACCTAACCTAACCTAACCTAACCTAACCTAACCTAACCTAACCTAACCTAACTTAACCTAACCTAACCTAACTTAACCTAACCTAACCTAACTTAACCTAACAAAACCTAACTTAACCTAACCTAACCTAACCTAACCTAACCTAACCTAACCTAACCTAACCTAACCTAACCTAACCTAACCTAACCTAACCTAACCTAACCTAACTTAACTTAACTTA